TGTGTAGCAAGACTGAGCAAACTGTCCAAACAATGCTAACTGTACAAGAGGTGTCAGGGTGTTGAGTTGGCAAAATATCTGCGATGTTTAAATCTGTAGGAATTCAATGATAACATCAGTTTCTTGGTAATGACTGTAACTTGTCTATATTGCAGCTGCTAATATTGCAGAAGACTTACTACCTTCACTTTCCCGTGATGACATCAAAGATCTGTTTCCTGGTCCTGAAAATTTGGTGAGGCGCCGGGCTATATGGCTTGTTGTGAATAAAGATGAAAAGGTAAGGTCTTTCACAGTATGACAGAACTGTTTAACAGTACAACAGATTTTCCAATATCACAGAAATGTTAAGTAACTTCAATTCCGGTCCATATACATAATATTTCATTATTTTAGACGTTTCTGCTTTGAGTCCCTTTCAACAGTCCAACTTGCTTTTTTCAAGTTTTTTTTTAATCCACTAAAAGATAATGTTTTTCAAAAAAATGTTTGTGTAAATGTATTATAGGTGGATGCTACTCCTGTTCCGAGCCCTGCCACTGCTCTTCCCGTCCAGCACCATGCCACCTAAGAAGCTGGGCTTAAGCAGCGAGGCTCTTTTCCATGTCCTTACGGTGAGATTTACAGACTTACTGCAATATTTCATACTATATGTTTCCGTTACTCACGCATACATTTTATGTCAGGTTTAGTTACTTTGAGATAAACTTTTTATTATTTCAAAAGGTCCAAAGGGTAAGTGTTCTCCATAGTGTAGTTGTAATACTAACTTCATTTGAACTACAGTAGCTGTGCTGCATTCAGTATTTGCAGCACTCAACAATGACAGTACAACATCTTCTCCCTCTCAGGGATTATTGTGACTATATGTTTACGTATATATAAGTACAATTATGATTTCACCAATATCCTAGTCCAGGTCAAAGTGTGTGTTACTTGTGATTTTGTTCTAATCCTCTACATTGATTTGTGTCATCTAGACTTCAGAGGATCCTGATGGTTTCCTGCGCCAGCGACCACTATCTTGCCCAGTCGTGCTTGTTTCTGAGGACAACTGCATGATCGCCATTGGAAACATGCCAGTGACCACCTTCAACATTGAGAGGTTTGATGAGGGACTGCTCTACCTCATGGCATATTACTATGCCCTGCACCTCACTTACCCAAAGTGTATTTCCACACTTCTGTCAGTACTGCAAACACAAATTCTCCAAGATTCCATTCATGAGCAAGATTTGACCCCTTCCTACAAAAAAGCCATTGGCGAGTGGAAGTCCTTCATTGAGTGAGTGAGTGAGTCTCTTTGTTTCTTTTGTGGTTGTTTCTTGACACCGCCTCACTCTCTATCTCATGTAAGACTTTCCAAGAAAGTCAAAGTTCTGTTTAATATAAGGTTTATCACTGTTAGCCACATTTGTTGGTGAAACTGAAAACTTTTCCTGTGGGATAATGTGCAATAACAGCAGCTGCAAAGTTGTATTAATTGTTATAGTATGCTGCAATAATAGCAGATATAACATTCTGTTTTTTGATGGATGTTTAATTAAGCAATTGTATTGCAAAGTGAATAAAAAGTATTGAAAATGAGAATGTTTTGGTGTCTTGATTTAAGACAAAGTCACTTGTTTTTTTAATGCTATTTGAAGAAATTGTGTCTTATTTTAACTGCTTTTATACTTGTTATTAATCCTAGATTAAGGTGTCATTTCTTAAAGTTAACTCAGTCAAGAGACCAAAATTCTAATTTTAAGTAACTTAATCTGGGTTTTGTGGGTTCTCATTGCTTTCTATAGAAGAATTTACTTAAATTTAAGATTTTCTGTCTAGTTTTAAGGCCCATTTTAGTCTGTCAGAGGCAAGAACTTTGTGCTTATTTTAAGAATTCTTGTCAAGTAAAAAAAGCTTACCCCATTGACAGATTTTTTTGCTAGATATAAGATAATTTGATTGAATTTAAGAATATTTTTGCTTCTTTCTAGTAGGTCTGTTTTTGCAGTGAACCAGGTAAAATCCCATTGAGATTAAGAACGTATTTGTTGTTATATGAACATAGCCAATGCATATAAAAATTGTCAATTAGTGAATTTGAATAGCTGGGAAATTATGGGTGGGATTTTCTAAACCTACACATCTGCAGTGCGCCACCTGTGTACCTCTCACTTGTGGTCTGATACTATGGTTGACACAGTGGTCAAATGTATAACTAGTCTGGTACCTGTTACATTAAAAATAGGATTGGTCTCAAGTTTAGGTGGATGATGGTGTAACCTATTTTATTTCATCTACTACTACACTTAAATGTGCAGCCTGCAGGATGTTTAACTGGTTAGAGAGAAACAGATCAGAGGTATTAAAGGATGTTTAACTGGTTAGAGAGTAACAGATCAGAGTTATTAAAGGATGTTTAACAGGTTAGAGAGTAACAGATCAGAAGTTGATTTAGATAGTTTCACTCCTTATTTAGTGAGTAGTGAGCTAGTTTCTACCTTTGTTCATCGTATACAACCTCCTGGACAACTTTCAGCTAGTCTGCATGGAAGGTGGCAACCCTATAGCTAGCTAACGTTAGACAGTGATTGATAGACCGTTTGAAAGTGTCCCACCTAGTTTTGTGTAAAATAGTCTTTGTATGGTTGTTGCACTACACGTTTAGCTACACTGCATGTGTAGCTTGCAAACTCAGCTACACATTATTATTATTCTAAATATTCTTTAGCATGTAGCCGAGGTCTAGAGCTGACAAGGTAAACTGCAGGTCTAGGACTAACTCTTACATTAGCAACCCACCAATATGTGTGTGCCTGTACTGTCATGGTAATTAGTTTTTATTTTAAATCCCAGCATGGAAAACCGATGAGTTTGCAAGTTTACCTAGCATGATGGCTAATTCATTTTGAGAGAGATTTGTTTTTCTCAGAAATAATTTTAAACATTTATATTTTTTTATGTTCTATGAGAAAATACTTTCTCTCAAAACTTTTTTTAGTCTCAAATATTATTATTTTTTGCTCTCAGTGTGATAACTTTTTCTCTCAGATCATTTATTTTCTCGCATGTAATAAAGACACAAATCTAACTCCATACTTAAGGCGCTGCCAGTGTTTGTGTGGGATGAATGCGCACCCTGCTGGTGAAACTAAGCAACTACATCTGAAATCTACTAGGCTGTATCCCTCTACACATTGTTAAACTGTAAAACTGGGGATTGCACTGTGTGTGTAACTAATGGGCGTTACCTACATATTAAAAGTAAGAATTAATAGTGGATTTTTAACTCTGATACACCGTCACAAAAAAATACATATTTCTCCATTATGTTCTTTCTGTTAAACAGAAATCAAATCTACCTCTCATCTATTCCTTAAACGGACTCACAAGAGTTCTGGATTGAAGTTGATTTATTCATTTTATTAAAGTTTAACCAGATTGACACCCATTAATGTAAGAAAGTCCTGTTTCTCATTAATGTTTTAACAAATTGAACCAATTGAATGATATTTGAATAAATCTGGGTAACACTTTATAATGAGAACACACTATTAAGCATTAGTTAAGCATGAATAAATACTGAAATCATCATTTATAACGCATTAATACACATTAGTATGTAGTTTATAAACACAGTTAAACATGTTTTATTCATCATTGATAAGCACATTAGTTATGGATTAGTAAATATTGAATTCATCATTTATAAAGCATGATTCTGCTGTAAATAGTCATTACTATGTGGTTTATAATCACAGTTATAAATGTTTTACTCTTCATTGTACTGTACATTTCTGCATGCACTTGCACATCCACTATTCAGACATGTATTAATGATTAGTGACTGTGTTAGCAGATGTTCTATAAAAACTCACAACAAATTCATTTTCTAATGATGGCCTATAACCAGTGATTAATGCAGGAATTCACAGTTACAAAGCACTTACTACTCCTTAATTAAGTATTTTGCACAAGCTGATCTAAAGTGAGCACTATCTATGGCTTATTAAGCATTTACAAATGAGATATAAAGGCTGACAATGCCTCGAGACTCACAAAATGTTCAGTTATCTTAACAGACGAAGGAGAGACACAACACAAAGGGATATAGAACATATTGTATTGATATTTACTGCAACTTCCCAACATATTGTATGAAGACGAACAAGGGTGGTTTATGAAGACATGCTATTGTTGTGATCTTCTCTGTTTGGGACGTTGAGCTAGCAGTCAGCGGCTCTAGTGGAGAGTATGTGTCTTTGTTTGGTAGCGGCGGGTCGGTAACGGTAGTAACGGTAGTAACGGTAGTAACGTTAGTAACGTTAGTAACGTTAGTAACGGTAGTCGGGGAGCGAGGGCAAACACCTGCAGCTGCTGACAAGCTAACGTTAGCATTTTTTCTTCACAGAAACAAAAGTTTTAAGGCAACAAAGTTCAGTTTTAGACTCAAAGTTGAATATTTGTTCACACTTTAATATTTGAGTCATAAAAACACTTTCCCTCTAACTGTGCTTTCAAAAAGATGATTTGAAAAACAAGCAGCCACATTTGATCCTAAAAATGTTCATTTTTCTCAGAGTTATAGAAGAAGATCAATTCTTTCTATCATTTCTTTCATCTCTACGTCTGCAGGCTGCACATTACCCTCACACATGATCCCTTCATCTCAGCATCCTTTGCTCTTCTCTTCCTTCAGCCTCCTCTTCCTCCTCTATTACAGTAAACACATCAGGTTGGTACTAACTAACATCAGCTGTGTGTGATCCTGTACAGACTGAACTATCTGGTCAGCAGTGAGAAAGTTTCTCTCTCCCTCCTACAGAGGACACAGAGACACTGTGGAACCAGACCAGAACCCGAACCCGAACCCAGGATAAAGAGGTTCAGTGAATGTGGTGTTGAAGGTGTGGAGGTGGATCAGTGTGTCAGAGGAGACTGTGTAGAAGGACAGAGTGCCAGCAGGACAGTCCACATACACTGCTACTCTACCAGAGGAGGAGGAGGAGGAGGAGGAGGAGATGGGTGTTCTTCTCTTATTGTGACAGACAGAGTAACCATCATCAGAGCACTGCAGACTCCAGGACTGATCATTCCATCCAAACACACAGTCTCTACTCTCTCCTCTCCTGCTGATTCCTCTGTAACTCACTGATATATAAACTCCTCCTCTCCACTCGACCTCCCAGTAACAGCGACCAGTCAGACCATTTCTACACAGCAGCTGAGACCAGTAGTCAAATCTGTCTGGATGATCAGGATATGACTGAACCTCCTCCACATGAATCATCTTCCTGTTGTTGTCAGACAGTTTGATGTTTCTGTTCACTGTGTTTGTGTCGACTGTGAGTTCACAGGAATCTGATGGAGAGAACAAGACACAATACAGCTGCAGTTATTGATCTATCATCTGATCATTGATTGACACTTTGATGATGACATCAGAGCTGTGAATGAGTGATGTCACAGTGTGAAGATGGTTGAATGTGTGCTGCTTTGTTTTCACACTTACACTTCCTCAGACCTGGTCTCAACCATCGGACTCCAGCAGGCTCCACCCTGAAAGGAGGAGGGGGGTCAGAGCAGCATGGAAACATGGACATTACATCGCTCTCATACACAGAGCTTATTCTCTACAAATGGACTTACATCTTCACATGGAGCACTTATTATTAATCAGCTGATAGTCTTTCAGTTCAGTGGAGCTTCTTCTTATTGGCCGATGGCTACAGCTCATTATTTTCACTTATTGATGATCTATTATTATTATCAGTATTATATTTGTAACAGAATGTTTACATTGATTACCTTTAAACAGTTTAACATGGGAGGTGAATTGGTAAGAGATTTGTATACATATGGGTTTTTCCTGATATAAATAATGTGTTTCAGTTCATGTTGAGATCATTAAAAATACATAAGGGTGAATATGAATGAGAGACATGATTGATTAGAGATAAGAGATAAGTTGTGTAACATGATTTATTAATACTGGTAAAAAAGGAAACAAAACACAATGATGTCTAAGCTTTTAAGGTCTCAGGATATAGTTCATCATTGCTTTTGTTATAAGTTACACTTGAGTTAAAGAGAGATATGATACTGTACAGTAATTGATGAGAGATAATTGGTTTTTTGAGTTGCTGGATCTACATTCTGGGTTTCCTGTGGGATGCGAGGCAGGGTTAGAGAGTATCTGGAATTCTCCATCTTCATCATCTTCCTGAAGATAAGATCTGAGCAAGCGTACAAACAAACACACACATTCTACCCGGGTAGCACATACACATTGAATACACTTGGACGGACATGGATACACACTAAGCTTTTGGACTGGACTTTGACCAACATTGATATCAGACAGCAATAAGCTGTAAAGAAACACTTTCACTTTCAGTTCTTTTATTTCTTTTATATATTGGAATGAATCTGAACTGTGATTCTACTTTTTGTTGATTGTGAAATTGTGTTTACCTTTTTACATTATTATTATTTACATTTACTCACTCCTTGAGTTGAACCTGAGTGCAGTAGTTACTTCTGTTATGAATTGGTGACATTGAACTGAATTGTTGTTTAGGTGACGCCTTTAGTTTTTCTGTTCTGTTGCCTGGATTGCTGTGTTTTTATGTAACCACAAGATGGCGCCTCAATTAGTAAAGCAAACACAGGTAACGATACAGGTGACACAGATGATGAGCTGATGACTGATAAATGTTATTCTATAGGATGAGTTAAGAGCAGTTGAATTTTGCTACTCTAATCTAACTCTAATTTGTACCCCAGGGCCGCTGGAAGTCATTTTGAACAGGGGGTGCTGTGAAAAAATTGTTTGGTATTTTTGGACAAAGGCCTATTTAAAAAACATTTTAAAAATAAATAAATAGATTGAGATTCACTACTTTATTGTCATATACACTTCAGTGCACACAGCCAGGGTCTGTAACACACAGACATCATCAGTTCTCAGATGAATATATGCGCTATTAATTAAACTTCACAATAACGCTATAACAATGCAATAGATTTGTTCAGCTGGCATGAACCTGAGTCACTGCACCATCTACGTTTATGTCACACGCGACTCTATTAGCTCCAAAATCCTTTTACGCAAACCACAAGGAAATAATCTCTGACTATTTAAACGTTATTGAACAGTTCTCCACATCCATTACGCAAAGAACACACGATCAAAATAACACTCTCCATCTCCATCCTTTTTGATTACACGCACACTGGATAGCAACGTTGTTTGTTTAGTTCACAACCTCTGTCCAGTGGCGGATGATCAAAGTTGTGAAACTAACGTTAGTCCCTGTCAGAGCATATGAGCGGAGCGGGGAGCAAAAGGATTTTGTGTTGAGCGGCAATTTTTTAAAGGTCGCTCCAGTCTTTGCACCTGCACGCGCACACCCACACTATTTTCTTTCAAAACTATGGAGTTTAATGTGTACTTCAGAAAAGAAACTGAGAAGTCGTACAAGTGTGCTATTCCTGTAAAAGTAACAGATGGGGATAATGTGGAACAAGAAAAAGGCGACATTGTTGAAGTCGTTTTGTTTTTTTTGAGCGGAGTGGTGAGTGGAGCGGGATAAAATGTATGATGGAGCAGAACCAGGCGTAGCGGATGAGCGTCTCTCTATCTCTCTTTTACGTCTCTGTTTCTCTTTTATATTATTTTTTGTCAAAATCATTTCCCCAAATATTCATAAAGAATTTATAAATTGTGCAAAATATTTTTAATACATTTTTTAAAATCTCCCTGTCGCCACTAGAGGGTGCTGCAGCACCACTACTTCCCGCGGCCATGTTGTACCCTATCCTGAACATAATTACTGATCGAAAATAGACATGTAAAAAAAAATAACCAGAGATACTTGAGGACTGTGATAGGTGGAAATTAAATAAAAAAATATTTTTTTTACCAGCATAGACACCTTTATTTGACAGTTACGAGACAGGAAGTCATGTGAGAGAGAGAGAGAGAGAGAGAGAGAGAGAGAGAGAGAGAGAGAGAAAGAGAGAGAGAGGGGATGTGACTTGCAGCAAAGGACCAGGATTTGAACCGCGGTCGGCTGCGTACGTATACGCATTAAACTTCGCTATCTATCTCTCTTTTACGTCTCCGTTTCTCTTTTTAATCCTCTCAGAATCCGGTAGGTTTCCTCATACTCATCTCTAATAGACCCTGATTGGACAATGACAGGTTGACATCTGAATACTCTAATAAACAACAAAACATACAGCAGGAGGTGTTCAAGGACTGCTCAGAACACAGGAAAATTCAATATCTTCTAAAAAACATAGCAAATATACATTTCCCTGCATTAAACACAACTGATCTCACATCAGTAGTAATTTAGAATAGAATTTAAAATCCTCCTCCTCACCTATAAAAGCTCTTCATGGTCAGGCCCCTTCATATCTTAAAGAGCTCATAGTACCCTATTACCCCTCTAGAACACTACGTTCTCTGAATGCTGGGCTACTTGTGGTTCCTATAGTCTCTAAAAGTAGAACAGGAGCCAGAGCCTTCAGTTACCAAGCTCCTCTCCTGTGGAACCAGCTTCCAGTTGTGGTTCTGGAGGCAGACACCCTCTCCACATTTAAGAGTAGGCTTAAGACGTTCCTCTTTGATAAAGCTTATAGTTAGGGCTGGATCAGGTGAGTCCTGAACCATCCCTTAGTTATGCTGCTATAGGCCTAGACTATCGGGGGATTACCCATGATGCTCTGAGCTCCTCTCTTCCTCTCTCTTTCTGCACTCATTCATGTCCCATTAATGCATGTTACTAACTTCACTTCTTCCCCGGAGTTCTTGTGCTTTCTCATCTCGCAGGTTCTCATCGATCCTGGTGGAGCCTCAAAATTACTGATATTATTATTATTATTATTATTATTATTATTATTATTATTGTTGTTGTCCATCGTTGTTGTCGTTGTCATCATCTTCTTCATGTTCATCATCATCAGTCATTTCTAGTCTCTCTCTCTCTCTCTCTCTCTCTTGTCTCTCTCTGTCTCTGTCTCTCTCTCTCTCTGTCTCTCTCTCTCTCTCTGTCAGGGCAGAAAAGGAAGTTTTTCCTTGCCGCTGTCTCCAAGGTCATGCTCATGGTGGGAACTGTTGGGTCTCTGTAAATAATGTTATAAGGAGTTCGGTCTAGACCTGCTCTATTTGAAAACTGTCCTGAGATAACTTCTGTTATGAATTGGTGACATACAAATAAAACTGAACTGAACTGAACTGAATTGTTGTTTAGGTGACGCCTTTAGTTTTTCTGGACTAAAAGGTAACACACGCTGATGGCAGATGACATCCATCAAAATATCCCAAACTATTTATGATATGAGCCCACAAACCTGCAGTGTGACAACACTGACAAATATCAACCCGCCATGATGCTCACCAACCCATCAGGATAAACCACTGTCCTATTTTCCAATGTTGAAACAAGACATCGGTCCAGAGAAACAGTTCATCCCCTTTCCTCTGTCACCTGACTACTACTACTGTATTGATCCGCTTCATACCTGAGAGTGTCCAGTCTCCAGTGTGGATCCTCCAGTCCAGCAGACAGCTTTGTTGCTGAGTCTCCTGGATGATTGTAGCTCAGGTCCAGCTCTCTCAGATGGGAGGGGTTGGAGCTCAGAGCTGAGACCAGAGAAGCACAACCTTCCTCTGTGATCAGACAGCCTGACAGCCTGCAAACACACAAAACAACATGTAGTCCGGTGTAAAAGTACAGGGGTTAAAACAAATTAATTTGTAATACAAATAATTGTCTCAGTGAATTAATTCAATAATTCAGTAATGTAAATAAACTGAAAGCAATTTAGGTTAAAAGCAGTGAAAGATGAAATGTTAACCGATAGATTAACATAAATTCATAGTAAATAAAGTAGAGTGTAAATAGTTAATTAAGTAGTTACATTAAACTGTTCTGTATAGTAGCTGAAGAAAAGTGTGTGGTAAACTAAACATGAATTTTCAGATTTGTGTCATTGGTTCATGCTGTTTCATTTGATTGGTTGCTGTAGTTATCACTCAATGTCACCTGTTGGTAATTGGCCGTAGGTAAGGGAGTGAACAGAAAAGGGGCTGGAGAATCGAGCCAAGAGGACGCCATTGCTGAACGGGAAGGACTGTTTCACGCTTCCTGAGGAGGACTTTACTTCTGCTGCCGTTGGCTTTCATCTTCATCTCTTCATTAACTGTTTCTCCAGGACTTATTCCAGACTGTGAGTTGGATTTTCTATGTGACTGTTAATTGTCACTGAGGATAAGGATTTGCCTGACGCACTGCACCGAGCAACACACAGGCCTTTTTTTGTTTATGTGCGTGTGTGTGTGTGTGTGTATGTGTGTGTGTTTGTGTGTGTGTGTGTGTGTGTGTGTGCGTGCGTGTGAGTGTGTGTGGGCCCACTGTTTTGTTTAGAGTTCAGTTAAGTAACATATTTGATCTGAGTTTGATAAGTATAGAGAAATCGTATTAAGGGGTAAGAACTAGGAATTTTACCGGGGACCTGGAATTATTTAAATTTTGAATAGTATTTTGGTATAGCCAATTCTATTTTGTTTATTATAAGTGTCTATTTTTCTACAGTATTTTGCCAATTTTGGTAAAAGGGTATTTTTTTTACTACTATAACTATAATATTTTTATTTCAAAGAAGTCTAATTGTGTTATTTCATTTTTGTTTATCTGTTAACTAACAAAGTAAATATTATTTGTGTTAAACTGGAAAACAACTGGTTAGTTAACTATCATTTAATTTAATTTGAAAGAGTTGTCTGGGGTCAGTTATTTAAAATAGTGTAGAGTACGTGTGAATGGAGCCACTGCTTAGTCTAACAAAGTTGTTGGTTATTCATGAAGTATTAGGCCATAAAAAGTTTCACACAAAACAGGTAAACCTTCGTGGTACCTACCTTAATAAATCGAACCCAAACACCCCATCATTCAAGTCCAAGGTGAGTTGCTTTAACTTAAGCATTTACTGAGTGTTGGGGTGCTACAAACACATTACATAATAAACATGTTCAAGGAAAGAGACTCAAACTAAATAAACAAAACAATGTTAGGAAGATTACAATTGTATCCATCAACATAACTCAGGTTTAAAGTGGTTATCAGTTGAACAGGTTGACGAATCCTGACCTGAGAGTTTCCAGTTTACAGTGTGGACTCTTCAGTCCAACAGAAAGCAGCTTCAGTCCTGAATCCTGCAGGTTGTTGTTACTCAGGTCCAGCTCTCTCAGACTAGAGGACTGGGAGCTGAGAACTGAGGACAGAGCTTCACAGCTTCTCTCTGAGAGGTTACAGTCACTCAGTCTGTAGAGACAATGATCAACAATAAGAAAAATAACATTTGTGACCAGCACTTTATCACTCAGCCAAAACAAAAAACACTTTAAATTAGTTCTGTAAAAATGATATCAGCTAGTGAGGAGTTCCCAATGTTGGTGATATATAATGTTTTTATAATCTTTCTAAATCAAAAAGATAGCAGAGTATTTAAGTGATAATACAGAAATCCAACTATTTCTATACTTACAGAGCTTTGTTGGAGGCTTTGACCACTGGCAGCAGCCTCAGAAGAGCCTTCTCTGAAACAGAGTATTTCTTCAGGTCAAACACGTCCAGATCTTTTTCTGATGACAGTAAGATGAAGACCAGAGCTGACCACTGAGCAGGAGGCAGTTTATCTGTGGAGAGACGTCCTGATCTCAGGGACTGTTGGATCTCCTCCACTAAAGAACGATCATTCAGTTCATTCAGACAGTGGAACAGATTGATGCTTCTCTCTGCAGAGGGAGTCTTACTGATCTTCTTCTTGATGTACTGGACTGTTTCCTGATTGGTCTGTGAGCTACTTCCTGTCTGTTTCAGCAGACCTCGTAGGAGATTCTGATTGGTCAGCAGTGAAAGACCCAGGAGGAAGCGGAGGAACAAGTCCAGGTGTCCTTGTTGACTCTCTAAGGCCTTGTCCACAGCAGTCTGGTGGAGATATTTTAGATTCCCTTTGTCTTTAATTAATTTAGACAACCAGGATGTTGTTTGTTCTTCTGCCAGCAGATTGACTCCAGAGTTGATGAATGTCAGATGGACATGAAGAGCAGCCAGAAACTCCTGAACACTCAGATGAACGAAGCAAAAGACCTTGTCCTGGTACAGTCCTCTCTCCTCTTTAAAGATCTGTGTGAACACTCCTGAGTACACTGAGGCTGCTCTGATATCGATGCCACACTCTGTCAGGTCTGATTCATAGAAGATCAGGTTGCCTTTCTGCAGCTGCTCAAAAGCCAGTTTTCCCAGAGACTCAATCATCTTCCTGCTCTCTGGACTCCAGTGTGGATCTGTCTCAGCTCCTCCATCATACTTGATGGTCTTCACTTTGGACTGAACCACCAAGAAGTGGCTGAACATCTCAGTCAGGGTCTTGGGCAGCTCTCCTCCCTCTCTGGTCTTCAACACATCCTCCAGAACTGTAGCAGTGATCCAGCAGAAGACTGGGATGTGGCACATGATGTGGACGCTTCGTGATGTCTTGATGTGGGAGATGATTCTACTGGCCTGCTCCTGATCTCTGAACCTCTTCCTGAAGTACTCCTCCTTCTGTGGGTCAGTGAACCCTCTGACCTCTGTCACAATGTTAACACACTGAGGAGGGATCTGATTGGCTGCTGCAGGTCGTGTGGTTATCCAGAGGCGAGCAGAGGGAAGCAGTTTCCCCCTGATGAGGTTTGTCAGCAGCACATCCACTGAGGTGGACTCTGTAACATCAGTCAGGATCTCAGTGTTGTGGAAGTCCAGAGGAAGTCGACACTCATCCAGACCGTCAAAGATGAACACAACCTGGAACTCTTCAAACCTGCAGATTCCTGCTTCTTTGGTTTCAGTAAAGAAGTGATGAACAAGTTCCACCAAGCTGTACTTTTTCTCTTTCAGCACATTCAGCTCTCTGAAAGTGAATGGAAATGTGAACTGTATGTCCTGGTTGGCTTTGTCTTCAGCCCAGTCCAGAGTGAACTTCTGTGTTAAGACTGTTTTCCCAATGCCAGCCACTCCCTTTGTCATCACTGTTCTGATTGGTTCATCTCTTCCAGGTGAGGGTTTAAAGAAGTCTTCTTGTCTGATTGTTGTTTCTAGTCTGTCTGGTTTCCTGGATGCTGTTTCAATCTGTCTGACCTCATGTTCATCATTGACCTCTGCAGTCCCTCCCTCTGTGATGTAAAGCTCTGTGTAGATCTGGTTCAGAAGGGTTGGGTTTCCTGCTTTAGCAATTCCCTCAAACACACACTGGAACTTCTTCTTCAGGTTAGATTTAAGTTCACGCTGACAAACTCCAACAAGATGTTCTTAATGAAGACAGAAAATATGATCATTAAGTGATTGATAAACAAAATATGACAATTTCATTCCTCTAAAGCAGAAAAATGTTCAGCTTAGATAGAAAATATCTATTTTGTTTCTCACTGAGACCAAAAGTTATGGAAACTAACTTATTGCCACCAGTCATTTCAATGAGGGGAAGTAGTTGTTGCCCACATCCAAGCGCACAGATTTTGCTCTGACGCATTTCACTGTGTTAAACTGCTGGTGGTACACACCTGGCGGCAGCTGCTATTTAATTCACGTTTTCTGTGAACCCTGGTGCAGGCAGGTGGCGGTGTGAAACCTTCCTTTAAAAAAATACATCACAAATTGCCATAACATTACATTTATAAACTATTGAAACAGAAGTTAGCAACACATCAGCCAGAAGAAAAGGAGTGGTCTCTATTTTTATATTTAAATAAAATATGATTATTTTGGGTATTTTTAATACAATGAATTATTATGGCATTGTTATGCATTTTAATTTGTGAGTTGTGACCCATTTTGGCTTGAAAGAATGAGTATGTGAATATGTTTTGGTCCGTCTGTTGAGACATCAGTAAATGTCTCATTTATCCAGCGAGTTAAATCTTTAGAAAAATTCTCTTACTGCTTTGTAGACAGTCAGCCAGCTCTTCCTGCTTCATTCTCCTCAGGAAGTGCACTGTGATCTTCAGTAATGCCTCTCTGCTGCTCCTCCTCTGCTCTTCATCCTCACCATCCAACACCTCCTCATCCTCCCTCTGACTCTCTGAGCATTCTGGGTAATCTGGACTCAGAACCTTCTGGATCTTCTTCAGCTCGTTCTTCACAAAAGTGACAATGTTGTCCTCCAGCAGCTGGAACAGAATATTATATGAATGACTCAATCAAAGTCAAATCATGGAAGCAAACATCAGATCCATGTTGGACAGACTGACAATCCACTGGTCTAAAAAGTGCAGCATGGAGATTATTGTGAACACAATAGATGTAAAAGTAGTTGTTGTCCATGTACAGACCATAAATATGGAGTCCAGGTGTGTTTGATGCTGCTGGGCAGACTGACCACTGGGAACCTCTGAGCTCTCCTGGTCCACTCTGTGGAGGAATCATGAAGAATGAGCTCACATTATGTCTGTCCACACAGAGACAAACACAAGGTAAAGGTCCATGAAGTGATATTTGGATGTGAACAGTGAATCTGATGACTCCCTGTAGTGGTAAAGGTTTACTAGTCCTGCTGATCCCACTGAGAATCAACAGCTTAGTTTGGTTCAGTCCCAACAGCTCTCACCAACCCCTCCATATAGCTCTCCCTCCCTCACTGTACAGTGCTGAAGTGCCCTGGAGCAAGGCACCTAGAGCCTCCAGCTGCTCCAGTGGAGCTGCTCAGTGTCTGCTTGTATCAGACTGGTTGTACTGGGCAGCTCCCAGTGTGAATGTGTTTGATTGTGTGAGTGTGAGGCAGCTGCTGCTGAAAGAGTGTTGGTGCTCAGAGAACTTCATCTGAGTCAGTAAAGG